TGTGTTGTATATTTTTTATTTTATCATGCACATTAAAAGGTGATGTTTTTTCCTAGAATACTGTAAGTTTAAGTTCTAAGATAGTAAAATAGCTCTGCAACTCTCAGTGCTGGCGTTAATCATCATCCCAGTGGAGGTTTAGCATGTGAGGGGTAGATTTTTGATCTCTCTGCTCAAGCAGAATAGTTTGAAGATTTGCTGTAGTTCTGCTTCCCTTCCCCAGCTTAGGAATTGTACTGTAAATTGTCTTTAATTGCCTTTAAATAACCAGATGCTAGTGGGGCTCCGCAATGCTTGATGGTAGGAAGTAAAAGATGGAAGGTAGAAAAAATAGCGTGAATGAATATATTAGGCATTTACAAGTTTCTTATTGATTTTTGAAGGAAAATCAATAAAGTGGTGGCAAATCAAAAAAAGTGGGGGCAGAGCAAGGTAGGAGCATCAGTGTCACTGCCTCTGCCCAGGGCAGTCTTCAACACCGTGTAGGCAGGAACAAACAGTTATTAAATGAGGCTCCACATAGTTTGCCGCTTATTTTTGCATCAAACATTGAGAATAACTTTTATGCCTCTTATAGCATCTTTGGGGAGGTCTGGGGGAGCTGCTGTCAATCCCCAGTGTTCCTTGCAGGCTTCCTGACACTCTTGTAAGCTACTTAGCAGAAGCCTTGTGAGGGTAACGCAGCTCCAGGGAACAGCTTGAGATGGCTTTCCCAGGTGCCTAGACCTGTTGTGGGTGGCAGAGAGCTATTTGGGAACTAATTTTGTGTATTTTCTGTGCTGTCTTTGGTGATGTGACATTGGATTTGTTTCCTCTTTCCTCAGTCACACTAGAGATCTAAGTTCTCGGTTACGGCGACTGCAGAGAGGGGAAAGCTCAGCGTGCAGGTGGGTCCCGACAGCAAAGTAACACCATGGTCTTAAGATGGTTTCATCAGCCTATGGTTTTTGTACTTTAACATCCTGCAATGATTAAAACTCCAGTGGTCTTTGCACAACCAAACATTGCATACCCATTAGGTATGGGATGTTTCAGCTCGGCACTAGGTCTTTCAAAGAAGCAAAGCAAGAACAAATCAGATATTTGATTTTTTTGTGTTTTGCTTTGATACTTAGCTCTCCTTTGGATCATCAGGTTCTCTCAGTCTTCCACACCAATCTCTTACCCATGCCAGGAGCGTGGCTTCAGTTCATGTAGCTCCAGCTTTTATACAAAGATGCGCACACCATCACAACTCCGATATCACCGCTGGTAAACAAGAGGGTACATTTTGACAATTCTCATCTGCAAGGGGGCTGGGCAAGACCTTTGAAGGAAGCTGCAGGCTTTTCAAGGCCACAATTTGTAGTTGGATTAAGCTGGAATAAACCCAGACCCCAGAAGTGAGAAGGCAGCGTTTTGAAGCCTAAAGCAACACTGCTTTGCCAGGTAGCTTTAAGTACACGCTGCCCAGTTCTGCTTCCAACCCCTCTGGAAACCATTAATGCTTAGAAATATAAAGAGGACAGAAGCTTAACCCTTATATTCTGCAGCTTGGAATTGCATTTAAGCCGTCCACAGGTCTAGCAGGATCTTGCAGAGGTTTCTAACCTGTGCATTACACAAATTGTTTTACTGTGGCATCTCGCAAATAGCGCTTGCCAAAAAGGCACTTTTAAGAGTTAAAACGATTGTGCCAGAATTCTTTGATGTCCCTGGAAGGGCACCCAGTCCCTATCCATCACTGTCCTGCTTGGCAGCACTTGGGCAGGGGTGTTTGGCCTAGAGAATGATGGATGGGGGACTGTTGGTAAAACTGTTCAATGTAGATTTACTAAGCTAAAGACGCAGCTCACCTGAGCTGCTGGAGAAGGGCCACGTGCCAACAGGTATGTGCTCTGGAGAGACCCGCTGTCACCGGGAGGTGCGAATGCTCCGCAGAGCCCCCCTCTCCCGGCACATTTGTGTTTCCAGGCGCGCGGGGTGCCGGGGTCACATTTTCAAAGTGAGCGCTCCCTGTTCCGGCCGATCCGAGCACCCATCCGGGACACGGCGCAGGTCTGCGCCGCCGCGCGGTTCTGCCACCCGCGTCCTGCGCTGCGTCCCCAGCTGCATGCAGGGGTCCTTGCAGGGACGATGTGCGCACCAGATGAAAGGCTTGGCATGCAAGGATGCAGCTGTCTGACGCTTTGCAGATTTGCTTTAATCTGCATGAATAATTGCCAGCCTTTGCACACACTTTTAATTTTAAGCATATGAGTAGCCAGTGGTATTGCTTAATTTTAAGCGTTTACTGAATCGTGGCCTTATTCTGTTTACTATTTTTTTCCATGCCCCTAAACGTATTCTTGGATCTGCAGGAAAGTATTTGGGGTCTTTTTGAGTATTGACTTTCCAAGAAAACAAAAGCAACAGAACAGCTAAAATTAAGGCTTAACGTAACCAGGGCTGTTTTCTTCTTGTCTTTTGTACAGTTTCTTAGTTTCCCTTTCCAAATGACAGACCAGTGAATGTAGATAGAGTCTTTCCGAGCCCAGCAGCCTTTTCCAGGGTTAAAACAGAAAGCAACAATTGCCAAATCTTTTAATTTCTGGGCCTCGCTGGCTGCAGTGCCTGAAAACCCCAAAGGACTGCTGAAACACTTGTGCGCCGTCGGCCCTTGGCCAAGCTTCGCGTGCCGCAGATGAAGTAATGCCATACCTGCCCATCTGTTTGGCCTATTGCTTTAGAATATTTGGAATAAAAATCCAATTTCATGTGATTTTCTGTGACATTGTTTAGAAACAGGCCAGTCACACGTGTCCGGCTGAAGGGCGGATCGTCCCCTTAGCGAACACAAGTGAACGGTGGTTGGTAGGGCCCGACTGCCATGATCTCTGTAACCGCAAAATTGTGCTCAGGTGGCACCATCCATCTCATTCCAGCTCCGTGTGTTGATTTGTAGTTCTTTGCTGCAACTAGGGCAGATTAAGCTGGAGTCGTCTTCTGCACATGAAGTATCCTGCGTTTCCCTGGCACTCAGGCCGAGGGCTGTGCATCTGCTGGGCACGGGCACGTTCTGCTTGCCGGGCTGTCGTGCTGCCCAGCAAAGGCCGGAGGTGCCACGTATGTTGTCATTTGCTTCCGTGGAGACCTGGCGTAACTCAATGACTTTGGTAGGCTTAGTCTTACTTTGAGCTGAGGTAAGTGCAGGCATCTTTTTGAGGCAAAATAAAATGATTTTGAGACTCATCAAGAAAGCCCAAACCTTAGCAGGAGGATCCTACCTGCGTTACTCATCAGCACTTCCCCAGCTCCGGCTGAAGCACTTCAGCTAATTAAAATTCCTTTTTCCTCCTTTTTCCTTTATGGCATCAGGTGGTTGGTTATAAGAACCTTCCTTTCGTGTCTCAAACTGTTATAATGTATAAAGCAGATGCGGTTTTCCACCGTGCAGTGGCCGCATTTCAATGGCAGCTCAAGTGATCCCCTGACATAAACCCTATCTCTGGCGCACGCCTACCAGGAGCACAGCACCAGCTTTGATGCAGTGGCAGAGAAGGAGGACGCTCTCACGTGATGGGTCCTTGTGAAGTGCAAAGGGCTGGTTTGATTTGGTCTCACCCACTCTCCGCTCCTGGTGTGGGGAGCTGTGCATACGTACATACATGTATATGCGTGTGTACAGGAGCTGATTAACCTGGGAGCTTGTGCTCTGTCCAAGTATCTGGCGGGTGGATTCACACATGAAATACTGACAGCTCCTCACGTGCGAGTCGTCAGACCCACTAAGATTTTGGGACCAACCTTAGTCCCAGGGAAGCTAGTTTAAAGCAGTGCCTCCGTCCTTAATGTTTTCTACAGAAAAGCCTGAGACGGTAACCTTAGGCGAAGGAAACGTGAGACTCCTATGGCAATTTAAGAAGGGCCGCAGTTGAAAAGGAAGGAGAACAGGTTCCCTTTGTACTTGCCCACGCTCCACTTGGCATCCCTGGGGACGGCACAGGAGGATTTCAGCCCTCGGCATCCACACAATCCCTTATTTTCCAGGGGCCAAGAGGCTCGTTACGGAAGAATGCACCCTGTTCCCGGTAAGCCTGGAGTGGAAGGAGATCACTGATTAAAGCCAAGGCTTTTGATTAAATGATGAGGCTACTTTCAGTGATTAAACAAAAAAAAAAAAAAAAGATATTCGGGAGGCTGGTTTTTGCAGAGGGCTCAAATAGGCCACAATTAAAGCACGAGCGAAAAAGCAAGCAGCGTGGTCGTCATTTTGGAGGCTGGGATGGTGCATAGCATGGAAGGGGAAGCAGCAATTTTGGGATTATGCTGTTATTCAGCGGTAACTAGATCACTGTTTATTTGTGTTTCTGGAAGCGCGGTCACAGGCGTGCATTGTATTTACCTCTGTAACTCAAGACACACAACGCTCTGTCACTCATCGCAGATAAAAGGCTTCGGTGTCCTCAGGTAATTACAGAAATTTTATTAGCTCTGATGAGGCAATGATAAAAGGTATTGGGGCTTTGATTTCATCCTTTGGAAGAGCACCAATTTTTTAGTCCATACTTTCCATTTGTTGCAACAAGTTTTAAAGGACTGTTCATCTTGCAAGTCTGTTTCTGTGAGGTTTTTACCTATGTTCCCATGGCTTTTGTTTCCATAATCATAATCCTTATGTTATACATGTAATATACATGCCCAAGGGTGCAGTGTGAGTCCATGGCAGAGCCAGGGCTAAGAATTCGTCCTTCAAATTAATAGTCAGTTGTCCAGTCTGTCCCATGACCATCAGTGTGTCTGTCCAGTAGGAATGCCCCAGCGCATGTGTAATGCTGCTCTGCTTGCACGTACGGTGCCAGGTCTACAGAACGACTGTAAAAAAATGGAAAAGACAGTTGAAATTTGTTTGCCTGTGTTTCACACAGCTGGTATGGTTGTGATTTTTAGTGTTTACAGTCATATAAAAGCCTAAGGTTTGGGGGAAAAGGGCAGGGCTTGCTTCAAATTATCACTGAAAGGGAATAAAAAGTCATAGAGAAATGTCAGGAGATCTTGATGAACATGTTTCTGTGGGAACTGGAAAAGAGACCAAGCCACAAAATTACGAACTAGATCCAGATTCCATATCCTTTAGCCTCACCCCTGAGGGAATGAAGGATTCTGAACTAAAGTACCACAAGTTCAGATTAAGTTTTTCCTTTGAACCATCTCTCGGTAGCCGTGTAATGTGACAGTCTCTTAAGAAAGGTCAGTACGAGCGATACTTATTAGTGATTTGTGCACCTGAACATGCCAGTTATATCCTCCATCAGACTAGGCATAAATGCAATTTCTTGCTAAGTATTCCCAGGCTTTTAACTCAATGTTTGAAACTGGCACTTCTGCTCTGTCTGGCTGAACTGCCTACAAAAACATCGTGAAATGTTTCCTGCTTTTCAATGAAATCAAGAAAAGCGGAGAACTTGCTTCCACTGTGGCCTTTAAACTGATAAAGAGCAACTTTTTGTTTGCAAGAAATGGGCAAACACAACAATTTTGAGGGCTTCTTAGTTTTTTTTTTTTTTTTTAATTAATTAGATTCCAAACCAAGCCAACCACAGGGTAACACCAGAAGCCACACAAAGCTAAACAATCCAGTGCTTTATCCCCACTATTTGGATTTCTGTAGTAATTACTATTTATGTCAGAAAGTTGTAATACTGCTTTTTATTTCTAAATATCATTATTGTTAAGGGTGAGCAAATTGTGACATATCTTTCTGGAGTACAGCAGTATCCCCCCTTCTTTCCTGGACATTTCAGATAAAACAAAAATAATCTTGCTGTGGAGTGAAAAATTCACTTTAATACTGTTAGAATAATTGAATTAAAGCAGTTTTCAGTAGCAATATAACCTGCCAGTTTTGAGTTGGCAAGAAATATCTACCCTATGCAATAAAATATGCACATGCCAGAGGCATTCTTGTATGATACAAATTGAGTTACCTGTTGTGGTTTCAGTACGCAATTTTAATACAGAAAATCTTATGCTTTGCTGTATTTCAAGCAGAATTTTCTTCACTGAGCACTCTGGATTTCTGCCTGATCACCTGCTAACTGAGGCTTTCACTAGCTTTAGTCATTTAGTTTATTATGTAAACTAAAGTGAGCTAGAAAGACTCATGCAGAAGGAACACTGTCATTTACATCAGCCTGCATCGGCTTTCTGCCTTGCTCCTCCTTGTCTCACTCTTTCATCTCACTCACACGATCATTGATTAGGACTAGAAGGGGTAGCACCTTGCAGAAAATTGCTCATTCCTTATCACGTTTGTACTGGATTGGAGTCTTGCAGGGTGTTTAAAGGGAACAACACATCATCTTAAGATGATGCACATGTAAGGGCGAGGTTTAGGCAAATGCAGCCTGGCCCGAGTTGTGCAAAATCCCCTTTCCTTGCAGCAGGCAGTCTGGATCCCCGTGCTCCGGGGCCGTGCAGCCGAAGCCCCACATGTATGCAGATCTCCTCAAGCCTCGTCCTGCTGTGACCTGCTTTGACAGAGTTCCCCTAGAAGCCTAGGAACTTTGCTCTCACAAATGAAAAAAGATGAAGATTTTAAATAATTTTTTTTTGCTTTTAGTGATGTATCTTTTGATTTTCTTGTCTATCAGGCCGGAAGATGCAATAACCAGCAGAAGCGGGTCCTCACTGCATCCCCAGAGCAATGTGGGCTCTGGGCAGCGGGGAGGCAAGCGAAGCGCGGCTGATGCCCGGGTGCTCCACGCTCACGAGCCCGATGGCAATGGTAAGGGATACACACGAGCCCATTTCTCAACAGGGTCCCCCCTCCCAAATGCCTGTTGAGTGCCTGTTTCTCATACAGCTGTGGAGATAACTTCATAACTTTCCCCTTTGGTGGCCACGCATCTCCTCTGCTCGACTCACCATGGTTTGAAAAGCCAAATCCTTTCATATGCACTTCACAAGCAAGAGCATTGCTCCCTCTCACCTGCCCCGGGATTTTGACTCGAGCTCTTTGGGGACAAAAAAATTTTGCAAAGACCAGCTTGGGTTGAACACTGTCCATCACTGTGAGTTCTTGGGGTCACCAATGGATGCGTTTCCTAGACCAAGCCAATAAATAGGCAGGAGTTGGTCTTGGAGTTCTGCATATCTGTGAGCGTGCTGAGCGCCGAGCCGGGAGGGCAGCCCTTCCCGGGGAGCACGCGGGTGAAGCTCGACATATGCTTTGTATATTCTGCATGTGTGTTCAGGCACCTCCCGTGCTGCATAGACCCTTTTAAAAACAAATCTGGAACAATAACAATAACATGCTGAGTGATAACAAGAGGCAGGGGGGCGAGAGGGGGACGAGGGTTACAAAAATAAAGATCATGTGGATTGTTTTCTTTGTGTCAGGCGCAGGGCTGGGGATTTCTCTGGTTTTCTTTTTCTTTGAGTGCTTTTGTCATTGCTTTGCTTTGGCAAGAGAAGAGGAGAGGCCTTGAGGGCTGTGGGCTCGCTGCTGGGGGAGAACAGGGAGGCCAAGGAGGGGGTGTTTGCTTGGGAGCATTCCCTGTTCTTACCTGAGAAAACCCTGGAGAGCTAAGGAGCTAACAGAAACATGCTAGGGGGGATTCATGCCTTTTTTTAGAGTCTTTCATCCTCTATTTTACAGGGGGGACAGCTGTAAAATGTTGCCTTCAAACGGAAGATCTTCTGAGGAGCATGAACCTGGCACAGCTGGCTTCACACCACTGTCTTCCCCCAGTGACCATGGGCAGATCTCCACCCAAGCACAGGTTTGTGCCTGCATTTTCATTTGCCCTGGCTACAGGAAGAGCCCTTGGAGAGACACCAGTGCCCAGGCTGGTTTAAAAGAGCCACAAGTTGATTGGAGTCCTGTGAGGAGTCACTGATCTCCTTGGCCCACAGAGCTGGGCAAGAAGATGTAGGCTGGAAATTCCTCTCCTTTCTTCAGCCTGGACTCCTTGCCCATGAGTAGCTGCACTCAGCAGGTGAGTGTCCTCCCTGAGTCCTCAGTGTGTTTCACAGCAGCCCTAGGATGAGGCATTCAGTTGCAGAAGCAGCAAGCTGCGCCCTCCATGGTGTAGCAGTCATCTGAAATTAGCTCTGGCCAAAGTTCTTCTTTCACAACCCCCTAAATAGCTTTCTTATGGATCATAAGATGAACGTGCACTGAGTGAAGCAACTGAGTTTATAATATCTTCAGGATAAGGTGAACACTTTCTAACCGATCATGACATTATCAAAGTGCTATTTGAAATTAGCTCCATATGCTGTAGCAGCACTGCAAGATTTCACCCAGAATTTCGTTTTCAAATGTTTTTCATTCAAGTTCACTGAGGGTAAATTGGAAACACTTGGGTGTATCCCACTTACGAATCTGTTAAGACCCATTTAATGTTAACATATGTGGATGTGTGGAAGGAGAAAGAGGCAGGAGAGGAGAGCTGTAGGATGAGGTGAGCAGGAATAACTCTATCCATTGGTGTCTTTTGAAAACCTCAGTGTTGTGTATACTATTCCTAATAGTGTTCCTTGTGTGAATGGGCTGTGCCTCCTGCTAGTAATACAGGAAGAAGTGGGCTTTATTGTTGTCTTCTTTTGGGTTACTTGCATAAGGTTTCCTAAAATACTTTGATTAGGCTTGTGCTGATTAATCCAAACAAATGGGTCTATTGGAAAAACACACAAGGAAAAAAATGCTATTTTCTCACTGGTAATTGAGTTCTGCATTTACATATATCTGTAGTAGTTAATTTTGGGCAGAAGCACTGTTACGTGTGTGATAGGACCCCTTAATAGGATCCTTCTGGTCCTATTAAATGTCCTCAGCTTCAGTGGTGCTGACAGTATTTTTGTGGGTTAACCGCGTCTGCCGTAATTGCATTTTTTCATCAAGCTGCACGAAGCAGGTTTTCCGTGCTCAGCAAGGTATCGTTCTCGTGCGGGGAAGATGCAGAAGAGCTCTATCGAGGGCGCGATCTAGCCATTGCAGGGAAGCACCAGGAGATGGTATGCAACAGCTAGTGCTGTTCCAATAACCTGTCAAACTGGCAGAAATAAGGACGTCGAGGGACTTGATTGCATAGCTGATCCATGTCTAGGAGGATATGGTTTTCATTTTGCAAATGCTATTCATCTGCAGTCTCGAATGCTCATGCCCACAGCATGAGTGTTTCTGAGTTTTGCATCAGAGTCTGGAGCTAAGAAACACACGTGTGCACCTTTACATCTGGCACTTTTATGAATCATTTTGAGGAACTGTTACTAAGCAGCAGCAGCTATATCATGGCTCTTTTTTATAAAGAGGAAGGGCTGTGCTGCTCATTTTGTTTCCAAAGAATTCATTTGTTTTGTGTTCCCAGAAGGTACTTTTATTCTCCCAGAAAGGTCAAGCAGAAACATTGATGTAAGTCCTGTTTATGGCGACTTTTGTTAGATTTCCAGCAATTGCAATGGAACATATTTATAACAAGTATGTTTCTCTCTAGGGTGATACCATTAGTCAAAATATGCTTTCTCATATTTCCGCTACATAAACACAAATATCTTTCAAGATTCAAACTTACTGTTCTTGAGGATTCCCACAGCCACATCTCATTAGAGGTTCAGAGGGCCACGATAACCATGGTTCCAATATGGGATGAAAAGTTTTTTTTTTAGGAGAAATAGCTTCAACCAAGCTAGAAGGTTGAAAAACAGGGTAACATCCCATGAGTGGGTAAGGCTCTTGTCCCAAACAAGATAGCAACCACAGTGAGTCTGATACTTTAAACACACAACTTCTGTTTCAACGTGGTGAGGATCCAAGCAGGTCCTTGTTTGGTGCTTAGATGCTTTCTGATAGTCTGGCATTTCCGTAGTGTTTTAGGATCTGGCAAACCGTATTTATATTAAGTGTGCTAATATATCTGATAACCTTGATGCAGCGTAGCCACTGACTCTGCCTACAGTCCTCTGCAAGTATTTCTAAATATGCCGTTATCCTAGCAGAAATATAAGGAAGCAGAACCTTTCACTGATAAGATGCACAGAAAACACATCAAACTGCATTACTATGAAAGCAGTCCTCCAAAAATTTAAGGAGTAGAGCCATGGTGCAAAGCAGTTAGATGTACCCACTTTCATTTCATTTTTCATCCATAAACTTTGGTTGAAATAATAAGACAGTTAATCTAAAGAGTGCCTGTGTTAAGAGACAAATACTAATTGAGCTGAAAGCACTTTTTTTTAGATCTCTGTCTCATAATCAACTGAGCATGAACTAATGATGGAAAGAAAAGCAACAAGCTCTTTAGGCTCATGTGCAGCCTCAGGAGGATTTGCTTCCAGTAGTATTCCTCCTGTCGCAATGGAGATGCAACTGCTTGAAGCACAGACCTGTTTTGGGGACCTACCAGCAAATTCGTTGATGATTTTTGGCAATTATGTTATTAGCTGATCTATGTGTCCTAGGATCTAAAAGAGCTGAAACAGAATTTCAGGAAGAAGTTCCAAGGAATAGCATTAAGGGCGTTGTTATGTATCACTATGTTAAAAACACCAACTACGATTTAGCAGGAAAAAAGTTGGCAAAATCCTGCCTACTTTAGTCTGCCAATATTTATGAGTACTCTTGGGGCTCATCGGCATTACAAGAGGAGAGCGAACCCAGTGATTATATTACGTTCTGAAAATTTTGGGCCAAAACTTGTTTTTCACACAGCATTTCAAGAAAATTATTTTGTTTTTCCCACAGACTGTAGTGGAGGATTGATGATAAATTGCATTTTTCTCAGGGTCATCAGCTATAATTCACAACATCCCCTACACTGCTAGCAGTAAGGACCTAGGCTGAAGCTCGTATGAAGAGAGGGAAAACAGCCTTGGACTGTGAAGGGCCGACTGTAGTTGCTGCACTCGTGCTCTGTAAGTTGGGTTAGTTGAGTTGGGTAAGTTGAGTTAGTCATCACTAAAGGTAACGCTCGTAGAGCCTTTCCAAGAGTTCCCAAGTTTTCTATGAAATTTATTTATCTAGAAATCTGACTGTAGGAAAAGACCATTCATCGATGACATTGCTTTTTACAATTGAGTCCCGTTGCAGCTTTGTATCTCAGCATGATTTTGGAAATCAGCTTTAGTGTGATCACATTTCACCAGAGTTTGGAGGTAGAAAATAAGTTTAGGAATATATCTTTGCAGATATTGCTTTGATTGTGCATCAGATATGCATCTGATTGTATCAGATACAGCTCTAGCTTCTCCGCCTCCAAGTCTCCGCTAGACATGAAGGTGAACAAAACATACGCAGGAATTGGAGGCAAAATAATAAAAAAGAAAGTGGAAATTATTTTAAAGTGTAATAAAGTGAGTAATTTTCATTTCATTAGAATACTATCTTTGGAAAAAAAAAAGACAAAGAACAATGAAGCTAATTGAAAGATCCTGGCAAGGGCAGATGGGAAGACTTATCTCCAGGTTATTATCACGAGAGGATAACTCCCCACATGTATCACAATTATGCTGGAATATATCTGTCACTGCTCAGGTAGTTGAACATCATGAAAAGAAGAGGAGAAAAAAAAAGTAGGGAAAAACTCGTGATTGACTTTTGAAAAGATATCAAAGTATTAAATAATTACAGTATGGATAAATGACAGCTGAGAATGGGAAAAAGAACTTCCAAAAGATATTGAAGTTGTGCTCTAGAGGGGAAGAAGATAGGCAGGAAATTGAGAAAAAGGGTAAAATTTGCTTTTTGCTCAGTTTAGTCACTGAGAACTGTAGAATTCATTGATG